CATGGCGGGAGGGGAGCTTCTGAGAGTGTCATTCATCGTTAGGCAGCATGGGCTGCTGAGGAGAGCCGACAAGGGCAACTCTCTCCTTAAGTGGGGTGTGACTGTTTTCACTTGGAAGGAGTATTCTCGGAATGTGAAATGGCGGGGATTGTGGGGGGGGGGATGATTGGCTTGTGCCGACAACTGTGCCAGGCAGAGTGTCCCTTCCGCCCGTGCCAGGGTAAACAGTTGTGCTTAAACCCTATCTGGGTTTGCTCTTTTCCAGGAGATTTGCTATGATGGAGCTGGCGGAAGAGGACAGGGTTAGTCTCCCCCCCCTCCTTTTTTTTCCTGTTTTGCTTTTCTTAGAGGCATGATCATTCGCACCCACCCACGTTACCATTCTTTGTACACCGGTGCCCTTTGTCCAGTCAAGGATTCCCAGAAGCGCAGTGGAGAAGGAGTTGTTGGCAAACATGGTTTTGTCACGGAGAAGTCAAGGCCGGGTTCAAATCCACTTCCAGTCTCAAAAATCCCAAGAGGAACCTCAACCAGTCACAGCAGTTTTTGGGGCAATTGGGTCGCTTCTGCCTTTCTTGTAAGATGAGGGAGGTATAAATTAACGTGGTGGTCTTGGAATCTATTCCGCACCCAGAGACGCCTGGAGAAGATTGCCTTGGGAGGCCACTCCCTTAGATCTGCTGTCCTTCTCTGCAGCAGGCAGGAGACGGTTCAGATCCGTTTTGGGGAGACTTTTTTAGTGCCCTCTGCCCTCTTTCACAGGCTCGGGTGTCTGTGCCCTGTTGCGGGCCTGATCAGCCGATCCACCCCCACTAGCCATGGGCTCCTTGCTTGGCCCCTTAGTGCTTGATCGAGCCCTGTGGAAGAGGTGAAGGTTTGCCTTCTAGGGAGAGAGTGAGAGCAAGGAAAAGGGAGGGCGTCCTGGGATCCTGTGTGTGTGTATGTGTGCGTGTGTTGCAGTGAAAGCCAGCTTCCTAAGCGGCATTGTTCTCAAGCTGTCAGCCGTAAAAGGCGGGTTGCTCAGGAGACCTCAGTCCAGATTGTATGCGGGGAAACCCACCCGTGCCCAGGTTTTCACCTTCGTTCCGAGGGTGAAATTCCCCGGTTGCAAGGAGTCTTCCGGGCACGTGGGCGGGTGTGTGTGTCTTGGGCGTAGATGCCAAAAGAGGATCTAATCGTGTGCTGTGGGCAGGAAAGCCCAGGTGTGTCGGATCGCGCCAGCCTACCTGTTGGGATTGGCAGGCAGGCAGTAAACCTGGCCACTTTCTGACTGGAGGAGGGCAGGACAAGGACACCTTTCTCTGCTCACCCTTTTGCAGTCCACGTGCGCGGCCTGGTGTTGGCAACGCGGCTCCTGTCACTCCAGCCCCGTCCACAAGGGACAGGTGCTTTCCCAGACCCTTCCTCTCCTGCTGGTGCATCTCAGCTGCTCTGAGTTCAGGTCCTGGGGGAAGAAGGCACAGCCCTCGTAGCCAGTGCCTGTGTTTGGTTTCAAGGACTCCTCCGAAGCAATCGGGGAGATGAGCACGAATCCCCTCCGCCCTGCGCACACACACCCTCTAAGCTTGGGAAGGAACGGCTGGGATCCTTTGTGCTCAATGGTGCCAGGTGGATTTGTCAGGCCCTGGCCAAGGTGGGTGGGAGGCTTGCAAGGGAGGTGGTTTATTGCCATTGGCATGGTGGGAAGGGGGGAGGGCTGAGAAGAGACTGACTGTACATCCAGACGCACACAGGGGAAAAAAAAGAAAGTTGTGTTCATGCAAAAACAGCTCAGCGGTGAGCTGTGGCTTCTGGTGAGGCCGAATGAGAGCCCGCTTGCACCCCCAGCCCCACGTTGGAACCCCCTCCCCCCAATTCAGGGAGAGGCGTCTTGGCCTCGTCAGCCCTCTCCTCGGGTTCTTGCCTGTTTGCTCCCCAAAGCCTGGCTTCGTTCCAGGAAACTCTGCGGCTGTGTCCATTTTTTCACAGCTTAAGGGTGTGTAGGCTTGGAACAGGCCGGGTTGCTGCCCAAGATGCTCCGTGCCGTGGGTTTCCTTTGCTCCGGGACCCGTAAAAGCAAAATGCGGTCAGAAGGAAAACGCACTCCGAGTGCTCGTCTTTCCATGAGCAGAAGAATCTTTCCTCACTCCCAGTGAAGTATCTGCTGGCAAGCTGAAGTTAATGTCTCTAAGAAAGGAGAGTTGGCGAGAGTCTTCCCTTTTCCTCAGAAAAAAAAGCTGGGTCCAGCTTACAGATAAATAGCTGAGAGCGAGCCTCTGCACTCCTTTCTCGTCCATGCGTCGTGGGGACGCCTCTCGGGCCGGCTCAAATGGCCCTCCTCTTAGGTAACTCTTGGCTTCCCTCAACATCCATCCCCATGAAAGAGGAGGGCCTCGCGCGGCTTTCCAGCTGGGATCCTTCCACTGTGTTGGAGGATTGTGTAAGCGGGGGGGGGGATGTTGCTTGCTGTGGTGGGCCAGCGTTTCTGAGCTGCCCCAGGACAGTGGGAGGGGGGACCCGCACAACTCCCCCCCACTTGCTCTGGGCAATGGATTTGGCATAAGTGCGTTTTGCCTCCCGCCTCCCACTCTCACCACCATCCGTGGGGGTCCCTCCAGGTTTCATATTTTCCAAAGAGGCTTCTTTAAGGGTTAGGGTCGCCCAGAGTTTTGGTGCAGGAGAGCCAGACCGAGCCGTGTTAAGGCCCTGGCAGCTGAGCCTCTCCTGTCTCCCCACGGTGCTCTTCTGCTCTCAGGTCCCTTCCCCTGAACCCACCTTGGCTTGTGGAGTCTTCAAGAGTCTACCTGGAGGCTCCGTGATTCTTCCTCCAGGTTGCCCGAATACCAGCCCTCTTGTCTTTTCCAAAACTTTCTTGCTGCTGCTTCCTCCAAAATCCAGCTGCTATTATACAGGCAAATTTAAGCTCTTAGGAGTTATTCACCTTGGTGACATTTAGACTTTGCAACCATGATCAACCTAGCATTTATTTCTCATGTTTTCAGGCACAGTAGATTTCATAGTGAAACACTGTGCTTGGATCATTTTTCCCAGTTTTCCTGAAAGGTATGCCTGCCAGCCGTGATCCAGCATGGGGGCGTTACGCTTTGGTGAAGAAGGGAGCATTTAAACTTTGCGACCTTGCTGGAAAACAAATTTTGGACCCGTGCGCTGGTGGGTCCCACATCTGGCAGCCAGCTGTGCAACTCCTCTTAAAAGCGGAGGCAGCCCAAGGAGGGGAAGGGAAGGGAGTTTTCCACCCAGTTTGTGGTGCGCACATAAAAGGAACTGTATTCCTCTGTCCAACTCCTCTTTGCGTGCTTTCAGTCACCCGGAGGGGAGCGGCAGGAAGGGGTGTGAACCTGGGAGAAG